ACTGTCTGGAGTCGCACGGTTGGATTTCGCTGTAATAAGGGAATGTACCCCTTAGAGTACATGGCTAGTTAGGTCGATTGGTATTCCCTTGTACTCTTATTTATAGTGCTGTATTTGCATGTTTTTATCATCTCAAACATTTTATATTCAGTCTGCTATTGAGGTCACGGGCCCACCACTACACAACTGTGTGCGAACCTTCCTGAGGTGATCCTAGGCGCGATCAACTTCTGATCGCAACATGTGGTACATACAACTTGTTTGTACCGTAATTCTTTGCTCCATTTGACTTGAGCGTCGCATTTGTCTCCTCCCATGACCATTCATCAGTTCTATCTAAAGTAGTAATCAAACGTCAATGTATAGATGAGTTTGGCAGTGTAGTCACTCAGTTATCCCAATCTGAAGAGTAGTGAAGTTGTTTGTGAACGAGTTTTTTTCTCAGTCTACGCAAAAAGTATTGCAGCGTTGTTCAGCTGATCCTCACTCCTGCCCAACAACCTTGTTCGATTGAGTAACCAGCGGAAGACCGTCCGATTCAAATTATCGGACGGAGAGTTCGGCCCTTGTTGTTTTGATTTTTCGAGTGAGGAGTTTGTGGAAGTTGGTGGATTGGAGCATGAGGGCAGCTCCACGTTTGCTGAACTGCTCGAGAGCTTCGAGATGCTGTCCATCTGACGGCTGAAAGATTAGGGACTTGGATCGGACGGATGAAACGTGTCTTCGAGCCTTCCTCCTTCTTGGCTCTTGAAACCCTAGCCTCCCACGCTCCCGGCCTCCTGCTCGCTCAAACTTTCTTCTCCTCTGCCACTTCTGTCGTGCACTATTTTTTTCAGGGACCCTGGCTTTCACTTTCTTGTTCTTCCGAGCTTTGTTTCTCTTGTTTTCGTCAAGCTTTCGAAAGTTTCAGCCGCCACCTTTCCAGCTGGGAAAAAAAATAATTACGGCACCCCCTTCCACATATCGAAGGTAGGAATGCGTTTATGCAAACAAAGCATAGCTTCAGTTCAGCCTTGCTCGTGCACAACGTTTTTAGAATCTGCCATTCCTTTTTAGAGCCTTATTCCACAGTTCGAGCTTGACGACTATGGCCGCTCTCTTGACACGTGTCTTCAGGTCTTCGTTCGAGAACAAGCTATTTCAAGTTTTCCTTCGCGGAGTATCGAATCCATCACCGCCGTTAGATAGTAGTGCAATTTTGCCAAGATGATGCAAATGCCGGGAATGGCGTACGAGGACGAGCGGAAGATGATAGCCTTTCCCGCCATGCCTCCGCCGCACATGATAATGTCAGCAGGCAACCCAGTTTCAGTTAGAGCAGTCGACTTAATTCCTCGTGATGGCCTACCGCATGAGACTTATCGCATGGCCCTAGGCACGTTGATGAGCTCGCTAGCTCGATTCAACTATGGTAAGTCTTCAACGTTGTCGCCGCGTATGTATCGTAGCTCCTGAACGCAGCAGTTTAACTGACAGAAACGCAACGTTTATAATCTGTTATCCAGCAATCATTCAAATGCCCCCTAGCGATGAAGCTCTGGTCCGATACACGCTAGACTCTTCGCGCGTTTATTTTCAAGTAAGCAATCTCCACGGAGTTTCCGTTTTAGCACGGCTTTCCTGCACGAGCCTAGCTGACAATTTTTCTTGTTGGTGCAGTTTAAGCGGCGACCGTCCCCGGCAATGCAGTCCATTCCGAGCGCGGACGACCCCCAGGAGTGGAACCGAACCGCAGGCTACTACTGCGAGCCGCATGTGGGGAAGGAGGTTTACGAGTTTCGACCAGGCGCTACACCTATCAGCGCTGTTCCAGAGGATTCCATCCCTCCGTCATGCCTACCAGGTCCGTTGCTTGCTCGCCTCATTTGTGCGTTTGAAGAAGTGGTGCTTCGGCTTCCGTCTAACTTCCATTTGTTTGTTATTTTGTGTGCGTGTGCGTGGTTTTCCTATTTTTGTTCCCGTTCGATGCAACAGATGCGTTCGGGAGCATGGGGAAGACGTCGAGAACGGTGTTGGAGGCGATAGGCAGGTCGCTGGACCTGCGGTCGTACACATTCACGGACCTCCTCGACAACGTTCCTCTCAAGGCCAACGAGATCTCCTCCTCCGTGCTCTCAGTCACCTGCCATGGACGCCGCTTTGCCAAGTAAATATCCGGATCATTTATCAATAGTCCCCCCCCTCCCCCCCCCCTCCCCCCCCCCTCCCCCCCCCTCCCCCCCCCCTCTCCCCCAACATTTTTTCGTCCGTACACCTTTTTTCTCGCGGTTGTTTTCGTCAATGCCCGTGCCTGTGACATCCCTCTGATTCCATTCTGACCTGGTCACCGTTGGATGAGCAGCGAGACGATGATGGACCCAGCAATGGACGACAAGGATCCTCTCCTCATCCCTCCGGAGGACGCCGAGGCGCGAGCAGAGAAGGGGTTGGTGACGCTGATTAAGTCCGACCGCCCTGGCCTGTACATTCGCGACCCGCAGAACCAATGGCTCCTAGCAGACGCCAACCTCGGCCCCAACGACCTCATACTCATTACTGGGTTAACTCTATATCAGGTACCTCTCCAACTCAGCTTCCATCAGGCCCTTTTCTGTTATTTCTTCACGTTTTTGTCGTTTCCCTCGATAGATGTTGCGTGTGGGTGGCGTGCGGTGTCCTTATCTCGTCCTCCGCGCGGCAATCCCCACACCAGGCCACAGGCGGCTACGTGAGCCCAGCGCTCTACAAAACAGACCTGGCGAGCGCGTCGGTGGGCATGCAGGTGCCGGAGGGGCGCGCGTCCGTGTTCTTCCGCCTGCTGCCGCGCGCCTCCTCCATCATCCACTGCTCCGCCATGGCGGCCTCGGGGCACGCGATCGCAGGGCCGTTCCAGCAGCCGGTGGCGGTGCAGGACTTCATGCTGCGGCAGCACCCCATCGATCAGATCGCTGCTGCGTCGTACAACGGGCTGCTGCGCCCCATGGGCATGGGCGCCGCCATGCCCATGGTCGAACCAGGTGGGTGCTGTCCAAAAGCGTTTGGGATCAGACTGGAATGGCGCGCAAGTGTGCTTGAAATATACACCAGGCTGCTCCGCCCCATGAACATGGGCGTCTTGCCATGGATCACAACTCAGAGAGGACCTGTCTGACCGGTGCCTTGTGTGTGTGTGCCTGGCAGGGTCGCCGAACGTGAGGCGGCGCAAGAAGCACCGCATCATGGGCAGCGACGGGCGGTCGCTGGCGCCGTCGAAGCGGCTGCGCATGGAGGCACAGCGCGTGCTGAAGGAGAAGGTGCAGGACCTGGCGGACGCCAAGGGCATCAAGATCCGATTCTGCAACCTCAAGGTCAGCCTGCCGCCCACTTCGCCCTGCTTGCAAGGAGCAGGGAATGCATCACCTTTTTACATCAGATTACAGGCAGCATGCTGGTTCATCAGCGGTGCCACTATTTTAATTTATGTCAACAGTGGGGTTTGTTCTGTGTGTCTCATATCCTCCCCTTCTGCCCTATCTACCAGGAGTGTGAGGAGCAACACATGGCGATGGACGAGCCACCCTGCTCGTACCTGCGGCTGCAGCTGGGGTGGCCAGCCAACGTGCCCTTTGTGCACCCGCACGACCTGCCCAACCGCGCCAAGCAGGCCTTCCTCGAGGCCTACGAGCCCGGCTGGTCAGAGCGCCAGCTGTCGGAGCCCATGGGCATCGAAGTCGGCACCACTCCCAAACGCGTGCAAGGTGAGTCACCTGGTTGCGACTGTAATCATCAAAACTTCCATCAACCCCAGGCCGAGTCACCGCCCGTGCCTCCATGTCACTCCCATGCATGCACTCGCTTACCAAAAGGCCAGTAAAGGACCTGATTCCCCTTGCATTGAACCACCACTGCCCTTCCCCGGCCCTCGCCTCCCCCCCCCCTGCAGCAGACACGTTCATGGACCCCATAGGCCCCGATGCCAAGTTCTCAACGCGGGCGGTGTACGAGTATCTGCGCACCAACAACAAGCCCGTGCCCACTGGCAAGCCCCAGGTCGTGGGCCACAAGGTCGACATCCCGCTGCTCTGCCGCATCTCCTTCGAGGCTGGAGGGAAGGACCAGGTCAGTGCGCCCTGCTTGACTGGGAAAATCGTTCGTTTGACAGGAAATCCAGACACTTTGCCTTCTTCGTGTGTGTGTCTTCTAAGCGTTTTGGTCACTGATATGCATTCGCCATCCCTGTCCCCTTCCTTGGTGCAGTTTGAGCAGATCAACGGCTTCCAGCGCTTCATAGCGGAGACGTTTCATCTGGACGGTGCAACGGAGAAGGAGAAGGAGCGGGCACTGGAGCGGCTGCGCAAGCTGTATGAGCAGGTGCTGGCGGACTATGTTGAGACGCTCGTTGCTAACCATGCCATGGGCATGGGTGGTGGGGGTGGCGGGCAGCACATGGGTGGGGGCGAGCAGCAGCAGCAGCAACAACAGCAGCAGCAACAACAGCAACAGCAGCAGCAACAACAGCAGCAGCAACAGCAGCAGCAAGTGCAAGTGCCTCAAGAAGGGAACATGCAGCAGCAGCAAGAGCAACAACAGCAACTCATGGCGATGTGATTCGGTGACAGTTATCTTTCCCACGTATAATGGTGCTCATTTATATGGCTTGTGTATAGTATGGTGCAGAGCTGACTCGCAGGGTGGTTGTGAGATGGCTTGTAAGGGGTTCACTTGTAAGGGGTGCACTAGTGCCTGGTGTGATGTGGCTCTACCCCACAGGCTTACCGGTACTAACTCTGGTTTGGCTGATATAGTACATATACTGGGATGTAATTAGGTTGTGTTCCAGCTGAGTGCAACGAAATCCAACCCTAGTGGCATATTTGTTTTGTTCAAGGTGCGAAGACCTGCCTCCTAACACAATACAAGGGGAGTTCTAGTGCCTGACTGACATAACCTACACCTCAAGACACATCTGGTACTAGTTCATACTGTCTCAATGCGAGACAGGCAACAGCAGCCCCACTGCAAGCCCCTAAGCTCGCAGCCACTTAGCCTCCAGAGTGGGAAATGGGTGTGGTGACGAAGGTGCCGTTCTTGAGCTCACTCACAAACTGCTCCGGTAGCGCATGCTCCACCTGGCAGGGGGGTAACGAGGGGCGAGGACAGGGGTGGAGCGGGGAGGAGAGGGGAGAGGAGAGGGGAGGCGAGGTGAGGAGAATGATTAGCAGCACAGCATGGTGCATGTGGTTGAGTGTGTGGTGAGAGGGGCATGCACATATGGTGTCCATGGTACGCTCTTCAGCTCACTCCCCACTGCTCCGGTGGAGCATGCTGCACCTGCCACGAGGATGGAGAGGGGAGACGGGAGACAAGAACAGAGGGGATATGGGTAGGGAGACGGGAGGGGAGACGGGAGGGGATACGGGAGGGGAGACAGGAGGGGAGACGGGAGGGGAGACGGGAGGGGAGACGGGAGGGGAGACGGGAGGGGAGACGGGAGGGGAGACGGGAGGGGAGACGGGAGGGGAGACGGGAGGGGAGATGCGAGGGGAGGTGGGAGGGGAGATGCGAGGGGATATGGGAGGGGAGAAGGCAGGGCAGGGAAGGTGGTTCGCCATGTGGCACAGGCAGCCTAGAGCACTTTGCTTGCAGCCTAGCAGACCCTCTTCCCATCCCTCTCCACACCTTCTCCCCACTTCCCTCACCACCCTCTACCCCTTTCCCCTCCCTCCCATCCTACCCAGGGCGTGTGGGCATCGGGCCCCGGGACGAGCACGTTGATCGCGGATGACTGGGCGGTGGGATGGCCGCTGCCACCACTCTCCCCATCCCTCCCACCTCCCCTCATTGCTTTCCCCACTCCCCTCTGATTTCCTTCACCATCCTTGCCCAGTTCCCCCACCAGCCCTATCCATTTCACTCATAACCTGAACACCCATACCCATCCCCCCTTCCCTACCCAGGGTGTGTCGGCATCGGGTCCGGGCACGAGCACGTTGATCTCCGATGACTTGGCGGTGGTGATCGACGCTGTCAGCGCTGACGCAGCGAGGTACAGCTGGCAGCCGCTGGTGTTGTCCACTGCGAGCGTGGGGGCCGTGCCCTGGCACTGGATCTCCACGCCGCTGCAGTTCACCACCTCACACGCTGCCAACACGTCCTGATAGGAGGGAAGAGGGGAAGAAGCAGGCATGGAGGGAGGGAGGCTTGAACTAGCAGCGACGGTACAACAAGGGGGAGCAGCAATGAGCGATTGCAGAAAATTACAAATCATGCATCCCAGATTGCTGGATAACTGCATCAACATGCATGTAATAATCACCTGAGCTGAGCCTACCCGAGCCCACCTGAGCCCACGTGGGTCTCACCTGGAAGACGACGGCAGTCTTGGTGCACTTGTCCAGCGTGATGTTGTTCACCTTGCCTGCCAGGGCGCGCAAGGGTGGCATGAGGAAGAACGGCCACAGGCTATGGGATGGAGTGCAGTGGACGACGGTTCAAACGGGAGGTAAATGCCAGGACGTATGGGCACATGGGCACATGGTCGGAGATGGGTGGAGATGGGTGGAGATGCGAGCACACTTGGGGGGATAAGAGGAACTTTTCAAAGGAGCCGCAGCACAGAACGCCTCTCACCTTTGACCTGCACGCCTCTCACCTTTGACCTGCACGCCTCTCACCTTTGACCTGCACGCCTCTCACCTTTGACCTGCACGCCTCTCACCTTTGACCTGCACGCCTCTCACCTTTGACCTGCACGCCTCTCACCTTTGACCTGCACGCCTCTCACCTTTGACCTGCACGCCTCTCACCTTTGACCTGCACGCCTCTCACCTTTGACCTGCACGCCTCTCACCTTTGACCTGCACGCCTCTCACCTTTGACCTGCACGCCTCTCACCTTTGACCTGCACGCCTCTCACCTTTGACCTGCACGCCTCTCACCTTTGACCTGCACGCCTCTCACCTTTGACCTGCACGCCTCTCACCTTTGACCTGCACGCCTCTCACCTTTGACCTGCACGCCTCTCACCTTTGACCTGCACGCCTCTCACCTTTGACCTGCACCACGGTGCCCTTGCAGCCAAAGATGTAGACCGTCTGCTTGGGCTCCGTGTCTGCTATCACCACCTCCTTGTTGCCCTCCTGGTTCTCCACCACCCACCTGCCACATTCACGCACACAGCCACGCACACATGCAGCGCAACACCCATTGTTGGAGCAAGATGCGATGGTTAGAGGCAGGCAGAGAGCAGGCCAGCACGGGCAAGCACACAAGTATTGCCCGTCGTGCAATCAGATGCTATCACCACCTCCTTTTTGTCCACCCGGTTCTCCACCACCCACCTGCCATGGCCATGCACACAGTCACACACACAGCAACGCACAGTGACACATACATGCCGAGCAACATGCATTGGGTGGGTGAGGGCAGGCAGAGAGCAAGACGAGATGGCACACGGAAGCATTGCACATCGTGCAATCGTATGCTATCACCACCTCCTTGTTGTCCTCCCGGTTCCCCACCACCCACCTGCCATGCCCATGCCCACACGCACAGCAGGCATACAGAATGGACAGCAACACGCATTGCCCATGCTCACTTGCAGCCAACCCAACCATGCTCACTTGCGCCCCACATCCCCATGCTCACTTGCGCACCACATCCCCATGCTCACTTGCCGCCCACATCCCCATGCTCACTTGCGCCCCACATCCCCATGCTCACTTGCGCCCCCCATCCCCATGCTCACTTGCGCCCCACATCCCCATGCTCACTTGCGCCCCACATCCCCATGCTCACTTGCGCCCCCCATCCCCATGCTCACTTGCGCCCCCCATCCCCATGCTCACTTGCGCCCCACATCCCCATGCTCACTTGCGCCCCCCATCCCCATGCTCACTTGCGCCCCACATCCCCATGCTCACTTGCGCCCCCCATCCCCATGCTCACTTGCGCCCCCCATCCCCATGCTCACTGGCGCCCCCCATGCCCATGCTCACTTGCGGCCTTGCTGCAGCTCGAACTTGGGTGGCTTCACCACAGCTGGCTTCGCAGCAGCGGAGGCGCCTGCTGACGTGGCCTTGCTGCCCCCTATGCTGGCCGGCACTGCCCCTGAGCGGTCGGCACGGTTCTTTGTCTTCATGTCCGCTGTCACCTTGCGCAGCCCTGCGTTAGTAATGAGGGCGGAGATTGGTTGACGAGGAAAAAAGGCGAAAGGGGTGGAAATGGGTGATGTGCGGTTCTTGGTCTTCATGTCTGCTGTCGTCTTGGCCAGACCCACACGGGACGGGTGATGGTGAGAGAAAGGAGGCAGACGAGTCACCGGAGCAGAGTGGTTACTTGTCTTCACCTCGCCTGTCACCTGCCACAAGTCTGCTCCACTTTCCGTCCATCTGTCCGCCCGTTTGCCCGATTTTCTGTCCAATCGTTAGAAAAAAAACCCTTCACAAACATTTGTTTCCACCCATCTGTCAAAATTTCCGTCCATATGTCCATTTTTCCATGTGTTGCTCCATAACTAGCCAGCACACACGGCTCTCCCCCTCCTGCCATCCCTCACCTACCATCACAGCTTCTCACCTGCCGTCCCTCATCTGCTCCCACCTCTCACCTGATGTGACGGCCTCGCCCTTATTGAGCTCCGAAAACACCTTCGCCATGTCCGCGCCCCCGCCCCCTCCGCCCCCTCCGCCCGCTGGCGCAGCCGGGGGCGGAGGCGGGGGAGGGGCCCCGCGCGGAGGGGGCGGGGGACCTCCGCGCGGGGGCGCAGGGGCGGCGGAAGGGGCGGAGGAGAGGTAGGCGGGAAGGTCGAGGCCTGAGGCGGACCAGGAGGGTCCGGTGAGGTGGAACTTCTTAACGTACTCCCGTAATCCCTGGGTGTACAGCTCCTTTAGTGCCCTCGCCCACTCCACGTGCGCTGCTCCCCCCTCCGCGTTACGATAGGTGGAGAGAATCTGGGGGGCGGGGGGAAGGGGAGGGGACGGGGAGCAGAGGGGGGGAGGGGGAGGGTGAAGGGAGGGGATAGGATACGATCAAGAGGGACGAAGGTCGAGAGAAGCGTTGAGATGTGTTTGGGAGAGGAGACGGAGAGGCGCTAGTTAAAAAGCAGAGTGGGAGGGGGAAGAGTGGGTGGAGGGGAAAGGGGGTGGGGAAGTGTGGGATGCAGATGGCGGGGGGGGGGGGGAAGGGAGACGAGGGGGAGTGGGGAACGGAAGGGGGAGGAACAAGGGAAGAGCAAAATAAACGGAGACTGGAGGAAGAAGGGGTGTAGCAGCAGGACGTGGCAGCACCTTATTGGTGTAGAACTCAGCAGCAGGCCAGGTCTCGTCAATGTGTGGCCCGGGGAGACTCATGCCTGGCGGAGGGGGAATGGCGGGAGGCGGGATGGGGATGGCGGAGAGCGGAAGGGGGAGGGGGGATGGGAGATGGCGGAGGGATGAAAGCAGAGGGGAAGGAAGGGGCGGGAGGGAGGAGTCGGTGAGGATCGGGCGTGAAGAGGCGAGACGGCGGGCAGCGGGAACAGCTTGATTGGGCGGGCAATGAGGAAGAGCATGAGAGCGGGCAGTGTGCGCGCAGGAACCCATGAGAGCCCATGAGAGCCCATGAGAGCCCATGAGAGCCCATGAGAGCCCATGAGAGCCCATGAGAGCCCATGAGAGCCCATGAGAGCCCATGAGAGCCCATGAGAGCCCGTGAGAGCCCATGAGAGCCCATGAGAGCCCATAAGAGCCCATGAGAGCCCATAAGAGCCCATGAGAGCCCATAAGAGCCCATGAGAGCCCATAAGAGCCCATAAGAGCCCATGAGAGCCCATAAGAGCCCATGAGAGCCCATAAGAGCCCATAAGAGCCCATGAGAGCCCATAAGAGCCCATAAGAGCCCATGAGAGCCCATAAGAGCCCATAAGAGCCCATGAGAGCCCATGAGAGCCCATGAGAGCCCATGAGAGCCCATGAGAGCCCATGAGAGCCCATGAGAGCCCATAAGAGCCCATGAGAGCCCATAAGAGCCCATAAGAGCCCATAAGAGCCCATGAGAGACCATAAGAGCCCATGTCCTGTGACTCTCAACTTGCGAAATCGGCGCACAACGAATGGCGAGTCACCGTGACATGGCGCCGCAAGCAGAGTGCGCCGAATCCTCTTCCCCCTTCCCCCTACCACACTCCTTCCCCATACCACACATCCTCAACTCCCCCCTCCTCCCTCTCCCCGTACCGCAGTCCTTGCTCTCCCCCCATACTGCATTGCCCCCTCCTCCCTCTCTCCCCCCTTTCCGCGCGCCCCCGTACCGCGGTCCTTGCCTCCCCCTCCTTCATACCGCAGTCTTTGCCGGAGTAGGCGACCCACGTGAGCGCCGAAACACTCTCGGCGACGGCCTTCACGTGGTTGTACGCGTCGCTGCGCTTCCCCTCCGTCAGCTTCCCCGCCGCCGCCATCGCCGCTCCCAGCGGCTCCAGCAGCTTCGGCAGCGCTGACGTGTCGGGCTTCTGGATGGCGCGCGCGGCAAAAAGAGGTGGGGGGGTGGGGGATTGGGGAGCGGGACATGGGGATGGGAAGAGGTGTTGTGGGGAGGGTTGGGGATGGGGAAGAGGTGAGTGGGGTAGAAATACAGTGTGTGCTGACCGGAAGTGGTGGCGGAAACGAAATGTGGAAGGTGCGGTGATTTTTCGAGCTCTTCTTTTCCTTCTTTCTTCCTCTCTTTTATCAAGAAAGGGGCTTCTGGTCGCGGACCAGTGACGAGAATAGATTGCGGAAAGCACGGCGCTTCGCTCTAGGCACGTGACGGAGGGCCCGCTTGCTTCCACGAGTGCGAGATTTCTATCCGGGCTTCGTTTCTCCGAATCCGGACCAGATCCAAGGAGATCATGCACGAATGTCGACACGCGCCGCGCGGAACAGAGCGTGCAGAGAACGGCGGAACAAGCAAAGCATAGCCCACCTTGCAGGCCGCAATGGCCGCGACGATCTTCTTCTCCGCCTCGAACGCTTCCGCCAGCGCCTTGGTCGCTGCCGTGACTTCCGCGCTGCCGACCTTCTCAGCGGCCGCCGTCACCTTCTGCAGATTCGCCGTCAGGATCGCGTCGAACGCAACCACCGACGGGTGATCGCTGGCCGCTGCTGACGTGGACGCGGCGGGAGCTGACGTGGCGGTGGAGGATTGGGAGGGCAGCGAGGCCTCGAGGCGAGCAACGGCCGCTTCGAGGCGCGCGACGAGGACATCGATCGACGTCGCCATTCGCTGTCGGGGTTAGCGACACCGCGGATGCGCGCAATGCGGAAAAGCGAAGAGCGTAGGCAGGCACACTGGTGTGGAAATGTAGTTTCTGAGAGGTCAAGAGAAATAAACGGAAAGATGTGTGGGTAGTTGTTGACGTGGAGATTCAGGAAAATGGATTTCTCATCGCCCAACGAAATGGAATCGAGTTTCCCAGGTGGTTCTGACGCGGGCGGGGAGATTCAGTGGCGGATTCGGGGAAGAAAACTGCTGCGGAAGCAAATCTGGTTCGGGCATGCCATATTTTGGTGCTTCGGTTTCGGTATGGGTCAGGGAGGGAGCCCTTGTCTGGAAAGCGCGGGTGGCTCGGAAGATGAAATTCTCGGTGGTGGGAAAAATGTGTCTGGCATGCGGCGGGCGGGATGAAAACTGAGGGTGCTGCGGACGCAGCGGAGCGAGCTTCACAGCCGCGGAAGCAGTCTGGCTTGGTATGGGAGCTGGTTTTGTAGTTGGTTCGGCGGTTGTGCAGAATGCGGAAGTGTGCCGGGAAGTTACAAGCATTCGCGACAGCTTCAGCTGGAAACCAAAGCTCGACGAATGGCTCGCGAAAAAGCTAGCGAGTAGATCTCTTTCCTTTCCGTAATGTCACATTTGTGCTCGGTCTGTAACGTTTCAAACCGATAGTGTGCGAACGGTGAGGAGGAACCCAAATGAATAGCATGGAGTAACGATTTGACGCTCTAGTTCCCTCCTTATTTCCGTCTATCGAGAATCTGACGTTTTTCTGACGATTTGCGTTGCACGGTTCTTTGTCTCCAAAATGGACGATCCGGAGGTGTTGCTGCCGGCGATCGAGCGGCGGACAAAGCAGCTGCGGCAGCAGGAGCAGATGCTGCGGGAAGCCGTGACGGCCGCGTCGCGCAGGAAGGAGACGAGCGCAGCGGCGCTTAAGACCGCCGAGGACGCGCACCAGCAGCTGCTGCGCGCTCGATTCCCCGCGCTTAACGCCCAGGTGCGATTCGCACGCCTCTTGAGACGTCAACGATTGTTACTAGATTAGCTCAAACCGCGGCGGCTGACGGTCCACTTCAGTCGAGCAGCATCGGTGCGCCGATGCGAATCCACGTGAGGTCGTGCTCGCGCGTCTCGTTACAACTGCTTGATTCTCACCCCTCGCTTCACTGTTCCATGATATCCCCGTAATCATCCGGCGGCAGGTGAATGCGCAGCTGGACGCCATGGCCGCCCATGCCGCCGCCATCGCCGCCTTCCTCTCCCCCGCGCGTGAGTCGCCCGTCCTCTCTCGTGCGCGTAAATCACGTCCTCAATGACAACGCGTTTCCTGTGGCTATCCAGTAGTCCCCACGCACCAAGCCTGTGCCTCTTCTCGGTTGGGGGCTGGTGCCTGTGCCTTGTGCCTTGCGATTGCAACGCTGTTACTACCCTCTCCGTGCACCCCTCCACCACCCGCAACAGGCCCGGGATCACTAGCGATGGTGGCGGGGGTGGAGCCACTACTGGAAGCGCAAGAGGAATTGGCGCTGCAGCACGAGGTGTGGAAGCGACGCCAGTTCGATGAGGTGGGTGGTGGGCGTATACGAGGGGTGGGAGGGGATGGGTGGTATGAGAGGCATGAAATGAGATGGTGAGTCGAAGGGGATGGATGAGTGAGGGGAGGCAGCACGGCACGCTTCCACCATCAACCCTCAGCTATTCCCTGTTTCACTCCGTGTGCCGAGTCCACTCACTCCGAAACCATCTGCCTCGTATGCGTCATCCTTCCCTCTATCCCTCATGGCGTGTGATTGACTCTACAGGGACCGTCGAGGGCGGTGGCGCAGGAGGGGTTGGGGCAGTACTCGCCGTGTGACCTCAACGACCTGCACGCTGGCGTCGTGGGGGAGGGGGATGGAGGCTCCCACGACACGCCAGGTGATCCCCTGCTGCTGGCCCTGGCTTTTTGAGAGAGCTCCTGCTGCTGCCCGCCCTTGCTTCCCGAGAGAGAAAGCCCCTGCTGCTGCTTCTCATCCGGCTCTGCTGCTGGGTGCCTGGGGTGCCTTCATGCGCGCACACAGTGCCACTCCGATTCCTGGCTCTGCCGTGTCACAATCTCATCTCGCTCATTTGTCGAAGGAGTTCTCTCACTGGTGCCTCACTCTCCTCTCCTCCTGCACTTGCTCTCTCCCCTCCCTCCACTTCCCACCACTCATCCCCTCCCCTCCCCTTTCTCCCCTCCCCCGCCCCGTCCCTCCCACAGACGCCATTTACCGGCGCAACATCAGGGAGCTGAAACACGTGCATGACCTGTGGGTGCCATGATGCCATGCGATGTCATGTATGCATGGCGTGATGTGATGCATGGATGCATGGATGCATGGATGGATGTGGTGGGATGTGGTGTGATGCGATATGATGTAGTTTAGTTGCGTGATATGCACCATGTGATCGCATGTCACTTGATCATTTCTTTCTCTCTCTCATCAACAGCATACCCCACCCCTGCCTACCCTCCATACCCTTGCCTGTACCCTTGCCCCCGCTTCTCCCCCACCCATTTTCATCCAACCCACACCCCATACACTTCACTCTCTTCTACCTCCTTCTCCCCCCCCCCCACTCCCAACAGGGCAGGGCATGCGGAGCAACGCCACGTGGCAGCCATGGTGGACGAGGCCCGCTGGACCGTCAGGGGGAGGGCGCTGGGCAGGTGAGTCAGTGGGGGAGATGGGGGAGGGGGAGAGGTGCACAAGTGAGAGCAGTGCCACGTGGCAGCCATGGTGGACGAGGCCCGCTGGACCGTCAGGGGGAGGGCGCTGGGCAGGTGAGTCAGTGGGGGAGATGGGGGAGGGGGAGAGGTGCACAAGTGAGAGCAGCGCCACGTGGCAGCCATGGTGGACGAGGCTCGGTGGACCGTCAGGGGGAGGGCGCTGGGCAGGTCAGTTAACCAGTTAACGGGGGGGGGGGGGGGCAGTCGTAGGGGGGGGTGAGGAAGGGTGGTGTGGGGTGTGGCGTGAGAGGGGTGCACGGCGTGGGGAAGAGCGAGTCCGGACAGAGAGCAAGGGTGCATGGGTGAGAGCAGCACATGACACGGGGAGAGCGTTGGGGGATGGGTGGGTGGACGAGGGGATGCGGGTGCTGGGGAGGTGAGGTAAGGTCAGGGAGGGGAGTTTGGGCATGGTGTAAACGTGTCTGCATGTGCGTGTGGTTGCATGTTGGTGCATGCACATGTTCATGTGCATGTGCATGCACACCCCCTGCTCTCATCCCACCCCTTCCTCTCAAACCAACCCCCTTCCTCCCCCTCTCCCCCACTCCTCCCCCTTTCCCCCACTCCTCCCCCTCTCCCCCAACTCCTCCCCCTCTCCCCCAACTCCTTTCCCTCACCCCGCGCCCTCCTCATCATTCCCTGCCCCCCCGTGACCGTCTACCCCGCCCCCCTCGCTCACCACTCGCAGCAGCAGCAACAGTGGCGGCAGCAGCAGGGGGGCAGGAGGGAGCGCGGGGCAGAAAGGGGTGGGGCAGGGGGGTGGCGGGCAGGGGGGTGCGGAGGGGCCAGAGGGGAGGAGGCGGAGGAGGCGGCTGGAGGAGTTGAAGGCGGAAGTGGCGCGTGCGAGAGGCGTGGTGAGATGGGGGGGGAGGGAAGGGTGAAGGGAGGGGGTTGGGAAGACATGGGGTGGGGGAGGGGATGTGAAAGTCAGGGGGGAGGGGAGGGGATGGGAGAAACAGGGGGTGGGAGGAGGGACATGGAGGAAGGTCGGCAAGTTGTGCTGATGCTTGGTGCTTGCGGTCCCGTCATTACTCTTACCTGTTCCCTCTGATGGAATGGCATGACGTGACACTTCATGACATCTCATGGCATGATGGCATGGCATGGCATGGCATGTGCGCATGTGTGCAGGTGAGCAAGCTGTGCAAGGAGAAGGCACGCCTGCAGGATGCCATGGTGTATGCTGGTAATGCTATGCTGCATGGCATGGCACGGTACCCCTCTTCACCTCTCGCTATCCTGCACTGCACCCTTCTGCACCACTCTCTACCCTGCACTACACCCGTCTGCACCCGTCGCTACCTTGCACTGCACCCCTCTCTGCCCGTCTGCCTCTCCTGCTGCCATTCTCCGTCTGACGCGCACTGCCCTTGCCCAACTGCTCTCTGCCTCTCCCCATGGCCCCGCCTCCCTCTGCCAGGGTTGTCACCACGTATCAGTGACACCACAACGCATTCATGCTGGCTCGTTGCAGCCAGCATCAGTAGCGTCTCCTCCCCTGCTGCCAATGCCCATCCTCACCCCGCCCCAAATCCTGTGACCGTCATTCCTCCCTGCGCCCTCACCCGTGCATTCCCCCCTCCCTGCGTCCCCCCTCCCCCAGGCGACTACGAGCTCAAGATTCAACGGCAGTGCTTCTACCTCGCCAACATGCACCAGGTGCGTGCTTCAGGGGTGTGTGTGGGGGTTCTAGAGGGTGTGAGGGGGTGCGTGGTGGTGTGAGGGGGTGTTAGGGGATGTGAGGGGCTGTAAGGGTGTGAAGGGGCGAGTGAGGGGGTGTGAGGGGGTGAAAGAGGTGCAAGGGTGGACCTGAATGCGTGGAAGATTGCTGACTGGGGAAAAGGGCATCGCAGTGACACAATTGTTAGGAAAGCCAATGATTCTGCTATGAACGAAGTACTTTTCTTGTATACCTTTCTGCTATCACTGCACGCTCATCCTCCTTCCCTGCCCGCCTATTCTCTCTGCATCCACGTGGCATGCAGCTGCTGAGTCAGCAGTACTGGCAGCTGGCTGCCAACGTGGCACTGCATGGAGCCGTCCTATTGGACGCGCACCACCTGGAGCGCACCCGGCAGCTGCTGCTCCAATTGCATTGCAACACGTCAGCAGCCATGAGCGACTCTAAAGCCCGCAAGGCGAGTGTTTTTGTGAGGGGCGTGTGAGTGTGAAGCAGGGGGAACAGGGGGGGTGGGATGATATGTTTACGGCGAACTGTGTAAGAAGGGTGGGACGCCATGTTGCTTTCTCACCCCCTCACTCTCCCACCACTCCAAACTCTGCTCGTCTGCTCATCGATCCCTCCCTCCCTCTCTCCCCCCCCTCCCTCCACCCCATGCCCCTGCAGGCGGCCTACAAGGCACTTGCGGCACAGGCCACTGCCCCCACTGCCCCCACCGCCCGCACCGCCGTGCCATCCTTATCCTCCCACCTCCCGCCCCCCTCCTCCTCCCTCCCCGTCGCCGCCTCCCTCCCCCTCTGGCCCGCCCTGCTCTCCGCCCTCTCCCCCCACGCTGCTCAAGGGGAGCCACTCGGGGCAGCAGGGAGGGGAGGCGCGCAGGCAGCAGGGGGAAGGGAGGGGGAGAGTGCGGGGGAGGTGGTGGGGCGGCTGGTGGAGGGGCTGAGGGGGAGGGCGCAGGGGGAGGGGGAGCGGGTGCAGCAGGGGTTGGAGCAGAGCGAACGGCTGTTGGCACACATGTCAGTGGGCTGGCAGGGGGGGTGTGAGGGGCAGGGCGTGCGAGGGGCAGGGTGTGCGTGGGGCAGGGTGTGTGTGGGGCAGGGTGTGTGTGGGGCAGGGTGTGTGTGGGGCAGGGTGTGTGTGGGGCAGGGGTGTGTGAGGGGTTACAGCGGTGGGAGGTGGTACCCCTTCGGTTTCCATCTCAATTGTTGCACCGTCGGTTCGCCTCATCTCTCTTTCTGCACCCCGCCTCTGCTGCTCTGTCTCTTCCCTCCCGTTCCCCCCCACGGGCCTCTGCCTCGCTGTGTGCCCCCCGGGTGACACAGGGCGGGCATGCAGGCGGCCATGGTGGAGCTGCTCTCATCGCCGCATGCCACTCCCTCCTCCACCGCCGCTCATGCCATGCCTCTGCACCTCTCGCCCCCTGTAAGTCTCTGCACCCCTCTGTAAGCCCCCCCCTTGTGGGCCTCTGTCCCCCCCAAACCCCCAACTATCGTTTCAAGTTGAGCCCTCCTCGCTGCTCCCATGCCCCTTGCTTGCCCTTGTGTTTCTCCACGAGGCCAGATGGAAACGTGCACTGTGTGCCCTTGCATCCTCCTCTGCTGCTCCCCTTCCTACCACCATATGCACCATCACCCCAATTATCCCCCCCTTGCAACGTCACCCTCCCCACCTCCGCCCGTTCCCAAGGCTCTCGTGGACGAGCGGCTGCGATTGGAGCGCCAGCTCAGCGATGACGTGGCACCGGCGATTGACAGGCTGGCAGACGAGTGGCAGACAACCCAGAGGGTGAGCTGAGGTGTCACATCCTGTACCATGCCATGCCATGCCATCCCGTGACCACGCTGGGCCATGCCGGTCCGTACCATGCATGTCCGTTTTCTAATGAACCATTCTGAGTGTTTCTTGCTCTCTTCTGTCCTCCCATCCTCTCTCCCTTCCCTCTTTCCTCCCATCCCCCTCCCCTCACCCACATGCCACGCCTCAACATACAACTTCATCCACTAGCAATTGCTGCACCCTCTTCTCAATCCCCTTCCCCCCACTCCCCACCCTCCCTCCCTGCACCCCTTTCAAGCGCCATGCACTCCCAAGCCATGCACCGTTCAGCTGCAAGCATCGCCTCACTTCCCCCCATCCCCCCCTTGCCCCTCCCTGCGCCCTCCTCAGAGCGCGGTGCACGCCCCAAGGCACGCCACCCGGCAGCGAGTGCTGCAAGAAGTTTCTCATTATCTCTTCCCCACTCCCCGCCTGCCCCCCTGCACCCTCCTCAGAGCGCGGTGCAGGCCCCAAGGCACGCCATCCGGCAGCGAGTGCTGCACTCCTTCTTCTCCCCGGGCGCCCTGCCCCACGCGCTGCTGCTGGCACACCCCGCTCAGGGGGGAGAGGGCGAGGGGTTGCGGTCCGAGGTTGCAGGGCGGGAGGTTCGAGAGACTCAAGGCAGGACGGATGGGCAGGAGAGGGAGAGCAGGGGCGGTGGTGGTGAGGGCATGGGCATGGACGATGACAGGGGTGAGGGCATGGGCATGGAGGGTGGGATGCATGTGGGCATGGGGATGGGCATGGAGGAGGACGATGACAGTATCATCTTCTAACTGCCATACCATGCCATACCATGCCATGTGCACACCAGAGGCAGCAGGGTGGGCTGGGCAGTGGGCACCTAACCATCCCCCATCATCTTCCTTGTATCTTCCATGTTGCAGTGATGAAGCCGTATCCCTGTTCTCGCTGGTCATCCTTGCTCTATCAAATATAGGGTTTAGGCAAATGTGACGGAAAATAGTCCAGCCAACACAACACAAGATCACAGGAAAACAAATAGGGCCATATGGGCTAAACAAAGCAATACATAAGTAAAGCAAACCAATTTGTACGCGGCACAGGTACACCACGGCCAAGGTGTCAAAACTGTGAGCTCAAGCAACGAGGTCTCAAGCGTCAGGGCATGGTGGTCACTGTGGGTGCTCCACACCACACACTGCTGCACCTGCTGCAGCTGGGGCAGTGCTGATGGGGAAGCTGGCAGCGCCTGCTGCCGGTCCCGAGAACACTGTTGGTGCATCTGCTGCTGCCTCAGCCTGCTGCCGCAGCTCCCGATGCTACTCCTGCTGTTGCTGCTCCTGCTGCCGCTGCTCTTGCTGCTACTGCTGCTGCTGCTGTCGTCCCAGCGCTGCTGCTCCTGCTGGCAGCAGCCTGCACTGCACAGCTCAACAGCCCGCACGAGCTCGTGCACGTGGATGGGCTGGGCAATGAACCCCTCCATGCCCGCTGCCCGCTGCCTGCCAGGCAGCGCACGCGGTGTGTCGCCAACACGATGGCGGTGAAAGCAAAGGTGGGCCCTGCACCAATGGCCGTCATCACTCTGCTTGCGTGTATCGTTGCTGCTGCTGCTGCTGCCGCTGCTGCCGCTGCTGCCAGCCTGCCGTTCCTGCTGCTGCTGCTGCTGGATCCGCTGCTGCCTCACCTCTCTCCCTGCTCCTTTCGCTGCTGCTCCTGCTGGCGGCGGCGGGTACTGCCGAACTCAACGGCCCTGACAAGGTCGTTGACATGGATGGGTTTGGCGATGAACCCCTCCATGCCCGCCGCCAGGCACCGCACTCGGTCCGTCTCCAACACGTTGGCCGTGAGGGCGAAGATGGGCGGGCGCGCGCAGGCGGGGCGCCACACAGGCCACTGCGCCACGATGCGTTGAGTCGCCTCTATGCCGTCCAGCACTGGCATCTGCAGGGGGAGAGGGGGTGAGGGGGAGACGAGGGGAATGGGGCGAGGGGATGGGTGGAGGGGACGATGGGACGTTTGAGGCGCCTCGAGAGTGGCCAGGAATGGTCTGTCGTGCATGCAAGTATGAGTCCACTTTCCCATGCATGCCCGCGCCTGCACGCCCACGCCCCCACTTGCACGACCATACACACGAGGTTGAAGGCATGAGCTTGTAAGCATGCAGGCACACATGTACACACGCATGAGAACATACAGGCACACATGTATGCCCCCCTTCACAACTAGGCGTGCGCTGCATGCATGCAGGCACAAACCATGTATGCGCACATGACACCATCACGGAATGCATTCACCACGCACCTGCACGTCCATGAGCGCACCTGCACGTCCATGAGCGCACCTGCACGTCCATGAGCACACCTGCACGTCCATGAGCGCACCTGCACGTCCATGAGCACACCTGCACGTCCATGAGCACACCTGCACGTCCATGAGCGCACCTGCACGTCCATGAGCGCACCTGCACGTCCATGAGCGCACCTGCACGTCCATGAGCACACCTGCACGTCCATGAGCACACCTGCACGTCCATGAGCACACGTCCATGCCATGCTCTCCCTGACCTGCACGTCCATGAGCACGAGGTCGAAGGAGTGCGCCTGTAAGCGCAGGATGGCTTCCTGGCCGTTGCTGGCCACGCTGCACTCGTACCCCATGCGCGCCAGCATCTTCGTTGCCACCTTCTGGTTCACCACGTTGTCCTCCCTGCAAGAGGGAGAGGCAGGCAGAGGGAGAGTGGGAGTTGAGAGGGGCAAGAGCCGGAGGGAGGATACATTTTTAACGTCTTAACAATCGATGGGGGCGACGGTGCACTCGTACCCCACGCGCGCTACCATTGTCGTTGCTACCCTCTGATTCACCACGTTGTCCTCCCTGCTCCCATGCACGCATGCCCATAAGCACGGGCAGCGGACAGGCATGGAGAGAGACGTGCATGGACGTACAAGCATGCGAGGGAGACGTGCATGGACGTACAAGCATGCGAGGGAGACACGCATGCCCCACCCACACGTATCGTTGAAGTCATATGGGACTCATAGCCCGTGCTGTTCCATGCCACGCCAGGACAGACCATGCCATCCCACGCCGCCCCATGCCACCCCATGTCACCCCATGCCACAAATGCCACCCATGCAACCCATGCCACCCATGCCACCCATGGCACCCATGGCACCCATGCCACCCATGCCACCCATGCCACGTACGCAAGCAGTATCCGGAGGGGGTGTGCCTCCACCAGTCCCACTCTGAACCCCGCTCGCTCCGCCCCGCACTGCGTTGCCCCACCCGCCCCTCTCGCTGCTGCACCTGCCCCTCCCTCCCTTGCACCAGTCGCCCTAGCACTTCTCCCGTCACTTGTTTCCTTTGCTACTTCGCCTCTCCCTCCTTTTCGTGCCACCCTCCCGCCCTCACAGCAACCCCCACCACTGGCCTCACAGCACCGCTCACTCCCCTCCTGCCCCTCCTCTCCTCCACCTCGTCCCACCCCCTCTGCTCCCTTTGTGTCCTCTCCCTCCTGCTCCACACTACCCTCTCTCCCCAAACTGCACTCTTCCCCTGGCGCCCCTCTCTCAGCCTCGGTGGCAAGCTTGGCAGCAGGGTTAGATGCAGGCTCGGTGGTTGGGGCAGGGATGGCAGGAGGGGGAGGGCGGGAGGTGGGGGCGGGAGCATGCAGGGGGAAGAGCGCGGAGAGGAGGCGGTTGAGGGCGATCTTTCGCACTGGACGGGGCAGCGCCGCCACCTGCACTCCTGGTAGGTGCGGCAGCTGGAGGGGTGGGGGGAAGGATGGGTGGAGGTGGAGAGGAGCAGAGGGGGAGAGGACAGAGAGAAGTTATAAGATGGGAATGGGAGGGTGGTAGGAGGACAAGGGACGACGGGGATGGGAGGAAGTGAGGATGAAGGGACGAACGCAGGGGACAAGGGAAGAGATGGGAGGGTGTGGTGTGACTCATTGATGGCCATGAGAAGGAGCAGTTGCGGAGAAGGACTCATGGGGAGGAGGAGGGGCGAGCAGTGGGAGGCAGTGGAGAGCGACGTACCTGCACGCTGCCGGAGTAGGGCGTCAGCACCACCACCTTCGTGCCCCCTCTCTCGCCCTCGCCACACTGCCTGCTGCCACACTCCCCACCCTGACTGCTGCTACAGCGCTGCGCTGGCAGCCACTCCAGCCGCGAGTCCACCACAACCAAATCAAATCTGCCACACCGCCCCTCACATCGGCACCCCTGCTGCTCCCCTTCCATGCGCTCGTCCCTCGGTTCCCCGCCCTCCTCCCCGCCCCACACCCGTTCCCCCTCCACCTCCCCCATGCCTCTCTCCCCGCTGCTCCCATCCCCTTTCATGCTGTCCCCCCGCTCCTCCGCGCCTTCCCGGTGTCTTCAGCGGGTCCCAAGTAGCTCCCGTCGAAATAATGGAAGATCTGCGCGTTTTGCAGCAGCAATTCCAGCACGAAGCTCCACGTATGGAAGTCTCTGCCGTCAAAGCACACACTTGTCTTTATTTTTGATATGCTAAAAAACCTTGATTGCGCAGAGAGAATTGCCTCTTCGCTGGGACGGGGAGTTTTGGGAGTTGAGCCATTGGTGTCGAGGGAGAAGGTATGCGGGGCGGTGTTGTGGCCGTTCGAGGCCGGTTGAGAGGGTTGGGAAGAAGTTCCCGCGTCGCCGTTCCGCAATGTTTGGAGTCATTGCTCCAAGCTGGTGAGTCGTTGAAGCAGTTGTGCGAGAACGGCGGAAGGAATTGTCGTCGTTTCCTTGCTTGTCGCAGCCGGGTTGGTCTGCGCTTCAGCCGTCAGATCCGTCTGACCACCAGATCCTCCGGCCATTCTCACGCGTGAGCGTGTGCCGGACGCCACTTTCCGTTCGCCAAAGATTTCGGTGGTGGCGGTGCGAAGGATTCCTGAGTCGCTCTCATACCATGTTGCGATCAGAAGTTGATCATGCCTAGGATCACCTCAGGAAGGTTCGCACACAGTTGTGTAGTGGTGGGCCCTTGACCTCAATGGCAGAGTAATTGTAAAATGCTTGAGATAGATAAAAACATGCAAGTACAGCACTATAAATAAGATTACAAGGGAATACCAATCGACCTAGCTAGCCATGTACTCTAACGGGTACATTCCCTTATTACATCGAAATCCAACCGTGCGACTCCAGACAGTTACGAAACTGTCTAGGCAGAATCCTCGCCACTGCGGCTGCCTGATGCTGTCTGCCCGATGGTCCAGATGCTTTTGTAACCGTGCGACCCTTCGCGTTTCCTCCGCTCTTTCGCCTTCGTTCTCGGTAGTGCGTGCTTCGATTGCTGCGGTGAGGAGTGCACAGTAGTGTTTCAATAATCACTATTCGTAACAGACCCGAAGTGACCTGGAACTCTGGCAATTCAATGTTCGGAAGACCCAAAGTGGGCCACTTCGGGTCTTCCGAACCTCCATCCGAACCTCTACTTCGTGTCTGGCACGAGGTAGGAATGTACCCTGAGTCCTCGCCTGTTCACAGCTTGTACTTTTGCCAACATGTCTCCACACCAGGGCTGTCGCTTGGTCTGGGTCCAAACCGTACGAAGCTGAGCTGGCCCGAAAACAAGCCTGAAATATCCAGGAAGCGGACAAATCCGGCCCTTAAATTCAGGGCATTTTTGTTTCAGGCTCTGAGAAACATGCGTTCAAAAGCTAAGTTATTCAAGCTAGACATACACCATAGAGCAGAGCACGCTAGGGGAACGGTGGGGGGGCTGGTGTTGTTGGGAGGAGGGGGAGAGGGACAAGTTCGCCGTCTAAGTCAGGAAGAAAGGGGAGGGGGAAGGGGGGACCAGGTACGGGAAATCCGGGGAAGTCCCAAAACCTGTCCGTTGGGAATCCGGGCCGGCGAAAAACCAGCCCTGAAAAGCTCCGAGCTGAGCTGAAACTAACCGTGAATTCTCAGGGAAAACGGACAAATGTCAGTGAATCGACAGGCCTGCTCCACACGTTGATGTGTGTGACTCATACTTTAGGATGTGTCACGGTTCGCCTCTGATTGCCCCGATCACAGTCGATCAATAACTTCCAGGAAGCTAGGGCTGCGATTTCAGGCTATCGGGGCAAATCACCTGATCGCGATCAGCTGATCGCCCCAACTTGATCAACCGCCTAAATCAGCCCAATCAAACACAACCCCACACAATCACCGACGATCAGTTGATTGCATTGGCTTGGGGTACCAAGCAACGCCAGCGAGAAGTTACGGTATTGTTCTGGGTTTCGTGAAGAACTCTCGCTCAAACAACCACCTTGGCGAGAACTTTCGAAACCATACTCTGCAGCGTTTCTGGGCATCTGTTCACGCGAAATTACAGGGAAACAATGAACTTCGTTAGATCCAGGCTGAGGACTTTGCCCTTGCCAAACTGGGCGCGAAAGTGTTTGGAAAGGATGACACGCTTGCCATGCACCCTCGTAAAACATTCGAGGAATTTCTCATCTGATCGGGCGGCGCGAGCACAGTAATCGGGGGCACCCCGATCCGATCAGCCCCGACCAGATCACAGCCGATCAGAGGCAAACCGTGACACGTCCTTACGGTGTAAGCCCGACTTTTCAGTAACCCCGAGAGTATGGAACCTCCAAGGCCGCCATGGCCGTCGATGTTCAGCCTGGAACTCATCGCGCGTGAAGCCTATGTGTCAGCTGGCTTTAAGGACAACCGTTTTAAATTCGCCTCGTTAAGACGAAGAGATTGGTACAACCTAGGTGTTCATCTGACGATCATTGTATTGATCTCCAACTCTAACCTGTCATAATAAAGCTCAAGGCCCTTGTTACCAACGCGTCAACACCAGGGTTTCGCCTAATCTTATATGACAGCAAGGAGCTTTATTATTGGCTTACAAGATTGTGGGTTTCAAGCCATGGATATCATCTCGAAGTCCTATCAGCGACTACTCAGCGTTTGCATCAAGAGCAGTGGCTGGCTGGTTACTTATTACTACTATTTAATCAGTCAGTGCTCAGACAACCGGCTGTCAAACATTATACATGTTCATATTGTGTAGGCTATAGTGGGTTTAGCCTTAGGGGGTACAACATTGCTAGGGTTTCCTACTTGTATCACCCTGCTGCCTAGTTTCACACATTCTCGTTCAGTTCTACATTCTAACATGGTATCACGAGCCTAGGTTGCTACCTAGGACCGCTTTCTCCTCCGGGCCCACTATTCCGCTAGAAGCGCCCTCGTGCGCCCTACCTTACGTGCGCCCTCGTGCGCCTTTCTATACTCGTGCGCCCTCGTGCGCCTTCGTGCGCCCTACCTTACGTGCGCCCTCGTGCGCCCCCGTGCGACCTGCCCTTCGGTCTGCCCGCGTGCCGTCCTGCAGCCCTCGCGCTGCCTCCTGCAAGCTAGTACGGCCCCCGAGCCGCCCCTGCAGGTCCGTCAGGCCCCCGAGCCGCCTCTGCAGACCCGTCAGGCCCCCCCGAGCCGCCTCTGCAGGCCCGTCAGGCCCGAGAGCCGCCCCTGCAGCCAGCGCGCTGCCCTGCCGAGCCGCGTGTCGCCCGTGGGCGCTGCCTCTGCCCCGTCGCGCTGCCCTGAGGAGCCGCGCGCGACCCCCGCTATCCCGTCGCGTCGCCCTGGGGAGCCGCACTCGGCCCCCGCTGCCCCGTCGCGACGCCCTGGGGAGCCGCGCTCGGCCCCCGCTGCCCTGTCGCGACGTCCTGGGGAGCCGCGCTCGGCCCCCGCTGACCCGTCGCGACGCCCTAGGGAGCCGCGCGCGACCCCCCGCTGCCCCGTCGCGACGCCCTAGGGAGCCGCGCGCGGCCCCCCCCCCCCCCGCTGCCCCGTCGCGGCGCCCTGGGGAGCCGCGCGCCCCCCCCCCCCCCCCCCCCCCCCCCCCCCTCGCTGCTGCCCGAGCCACCCTGCAGCCCGCGAGCCGCCTCTACAGCGCCGAGTGCGCTCTGCCAAACCCTAAAATAAATAATTTATTATTAAAAAAAAAAAAAAAAAAAAAAAAAAAAGAGGGAGCAGCTGCCCCTGGCCCCTGGAGCAGCCGCCCCTGGAGCAGCCGCCCCTGCAGCAGCCGCTCCTGCAGCAGCTGCCCCTGCAGCAGCCGCCCCTGGACCTCTGCAGCCGCCCCTGGCCCCTGGAGCAGCCGCCCCTGCAGCTGCCGCGGAGCCCTCGCCCTGCAGTGGTAGCGGCCTCGCCGTTACCACCGTCGTACGCCTGCTCTTCTCGCCACTGGTGAGCACTGCCCTGCCCGTATTGCTGTTACTGCTGCTCCTGCTGCTACTGCTCTTTCTACTTCTACTGCTGCTCCTGGCGTGGCCAGATGCAGCTCCAGCGCCGTCCGCGTGAGTCCCTCACGCCCCAACAGCTTCGTGAGTGGTATGCTGGTTGGGGTTGTAGGGGTGGCCGCGCTGCTGCTACTACTACTGCTACTGCTGCTCCTGGCGGTGGCCAGATCCAGCTCCCGCGACGTCCGAGTGAGTCCCTCACGCCCCAGCAGCTTCGTGAGTGGTACGCTCAGCGTGGAGGGTCACGGGGTACTGCTCGCTGCCCGTACGTCATTCGCACTGGTGCTCGGACTGGTCAGCCTTGCGGGACGTTTGGTCACACAGAGTCCCGCTGCTTCGCCCGTCTGAGCGACGCCTGGCGTACAGAGTTTGGCGACGCGGCTGAGCTCCCCGACTGGGTGGAGCTGCTTAGGCAGAGGGTAGATATCTATGCTCTTGACTATGATGCTATCCTCACTGCCATGTATGCATTTCCTACTAGTGCTGAGAGTGCCTGTCACCTGTGTGTGCCGCCTGACCCCGGTATCCAGTCTGCTGCTCTAGGTACTGGTGAGGCTGCTGCACTAGGTGCTCGTGTGTCTGTTGCCCCAGGTGCTGGTGAGGCTGCTGCTCTAGGTACTCGTGAGTCTGCGCCCTCTGGTACTGCGTCTACTGAGGCACTGCACACCTTCACACTGGACTCAGGCGCTTCCCGCTGTTTCTTTCGTGACCGCACTGCCCTTGAGCAGCTTGCTCGGCCGGTTGCAGTCTCCCTCGCTGACCCCTCTGGGGGTCCGGTCATTGCGACCTCCTCTACTGTTCTCCCTTGTCCTGCGGTCCCGTCGGGCACTCTGTCAGGTCTCTACCTCCCCTCGTTCTCTACGAACTTGGTGGCGGGTAGTGCGCTCCAGGACGGGGGTGTCCACCAGTTTACCCCTGCCTACGAGCGTGTGACACACTGCACGTGCGCTCGGACGGGCCGCCACCTGGCTACCTTCACTCGGCAGCCGGGGTCGGACCTGTACACACTGACCACTGAGTCCCCTCAGGTAGCTGCGTCTGCGTCTGCGTCGGGTCAGCTGTCTGCCCCCTGCTCGTGTC